TTTCCTCAGTATGCTGCTAAGTATGCCATACCTGGCCTCCAGGCATGAGTTCAATCCGAGGTGCCACATTGCCTTTTTTGACCAATTAGAGTGAGCCTCTGCTGGGCAGGGCTCAGACCTCCAGCTGGGAGCTGCCAGGCATATCTAACTGCAGCCCAAACAAACGGCAGACTTCACCACAAACACATCATAACATGTGTTAGAACCCTAACCTCTTTGCTTCTCCTTGCTCCCATATGCAGCTGTCTTGATTAAAAACCTAGAGCTAGTTAACTTTTTGTTCCTCCCTTCACCTTTCTAGCTCTACACATTCCTCTTTCTGTCTTCCTCTTCTTGCCTCCAGATGTTTCTCTAACCATGTCATGCAGACACTGACAGAGAGCGGTCAGGCTGTGTTCATTCCATCCATTTATTGAAAACAGATATAACAGGAAGAGTTCATTCCTGTAGAGCAGCCCCCCATTACAACAATCAATAAACAACGGCTGGTTTTAAAAGCATGTGCTACATTTAACAGATTTCAATAAAAAATGCACCATTATCTCTATAAAAAGGGTAACAACTTGTGATGTATAACTCTCAAATATTATAGAGGGAACACTTATAGTTTCTGGAACATTTTGTCAAAAATCAGCCCTTTGCTTTCCAAGTACAAGTCACTATGACGCTGGATGTGGAAACATTCAGAATTAACCCAGTTGGAAAACACATAAAAACTTAACAGGACTTTATTGACACAGTTGTTTACCTGCCTCATATCCACAGAAAACCTGAAGGGAAATTCTAACAGTTTCAGAGACTGTTGGGCCTTGAACTTTCTGGAAAAGGACTCAACTGTCAGTCCTAACCTCAAAACAGCCAAATTAATGGGGTCTGAGGATGGTAGTTAACAAGGCAGATGTCTACCACCCAAGTGGGCATCCTACATATGGTTGTATCCCATCCTCTTTGCTCTACTAAAGTAAAGGAGCAAGCATTAGTATGAATAGTAACATTTCAAAACTGATGATAGAACTCACAGATTTCCAACATCCATTAACTAACCCTTCAGTTTGTGTAGTGCAAGTTTCCCCATATTTTAAAACATGCTTTAGAGCTTTGTTGTTTAAAGGCTCCAAAGCAGTTATCAGCCTTCAGGAATGAACCGGCTTAATAAGTGTATCTTTATGTTCCCCCATGACGGACGAGACCTGTCATCACTGTCAGCACCCCGGCTGAGTTAAGGAGCACCAAATGATTTTCCATAACACGAAGCTGGCAGCACATATTATTTATGCTTTTTTTTCACCCCATAAGCCACAGTCAACATCGTTCAACAAAATTGAATTTTAATCATTCTCCTTATAGGAAAAGCAACCCAACTGCACACAATTAAAGCAGTGAGACACAAAGCAGACTATGTTGAAACATTTGGGCTGCATTATGAGGATGTTTACAAAGTTGAAATGGGTTATGTTGATAAGAAAGGCCTTCGTTTGGCTGCTTTAAGGAATGTTTAATTAATTTCAAATCTGTCAATCCTTTGGAATGTGCTCAATCATGTACGAAAATAGTTTTAAAAGAAAACATATGAGGAAGCAGTCAACAATCTTTTACAAACTTGTTGACAGTAAACATCCATTTAAGGTTCCAGAGAAACTTTTTGAAAGAACTTTGTCTGCTACTACTACTACTATTGCACTGAGGAATAATTTTGACCTTTTAGTTGCACTCGTTTTTAGTTTAACCTTCAGATAAAGTGGGTTCATATTTGTTTATTTCCTGTTCTTCATCAGATAGAGTTTGCTTGGTTGTCTTTTAGGTCTCACCTAGGCCACGTAAACACATGTATGTCTGTAGCAACAGAGCCAGCTTTGTCCATTGATGAAGACTGTAAGGTGTGATTAGGCGCTTTCACAACGGAGTACTTTTCCCAGGAATAGTTCCGATAGTTCTTGGGATTTTGCATTCACACCAAAAAAATCTGGATCTAGAACTTGGTTCATGTAAACCTTTTCACCCCTTTTCAGTCCCTGCTAGAGAGCAGGTACTTTCCTGGGGAGGAAAATGTTCCAATTTCTGATTGGCTGGGCAAATTGCAAACCACGACCCGTAAAACTCCCAAAATGTTTTGTGAAGCCGCCATTTTATTTGCTGGCATTAGCATTATTAGCATTAGCATTAGACCAGCGCAACAACGGAGAGAGACTAACTTATGGCAACACAAAATAAAACGCGGGAACGGTGGAGTGATGGGGAGGTGTCGGCGCTTCTGGCGATTTGCCCAGGACTTCGGGTGGCGATTTACTGCCACCCGAAGTCCCGAAGTCCGGGGGAGTCCGGGAGACTCCGGGGACTTCGGGTGGCAGTATAAGCCGTGAATTTGTTTGCGGCCTGCCAGTAGACCCAAAGCAGAAGAAGAAAAATTGACGTCAGCGGCTTCATTTGCCTAATCCTCCCTCAGGGACTTATTCCGGTGTGAACGCAATTTACTAGGACAGGGACTAAAGAGTTTGGCGGGACTAAGTACTGGGAACTAAATACGCCAAAGTACTTGGTGTGAAAGCGGCTATTGAAAGCTCTGGGAAATGCTAGAAGACCCTGACTTACGGCTCAAACATAGTATCGGGGTCCAAACTTAGTTGTTGAATTGGAAATTATGGGTTAGCTGTTTAATGTACAGTATCACACGTAAAAAGAAAATATATTCATAATTATGATAAATTATTAGCATTTTTGGGTAATTTTTCATTGAGTTGCAGATTGACCAATGAAGAATGTTGTGCCATGCTCTAAATGTATTATTCTATATAATAACTGTTACTCTTACGGTTTAAAAACAGCAGGACACAACCCTCTTTAAGCGCACTGTAGACCAACTGTTGTGCATTGTGGTAAACGATAAAGTCCAATCGACAAAAAAAACACATAACTGTGCTGTTAAAATTCCTGTTATTTGTAAGATGGGATATGCAGGTCAGAACGTGGTCTGCCAGCGCGATGCGTGCTCATGGTACATGTATGGCTCACATATAAGTACAGCATACGTAGAAAGCAAAAAAATGTGCTGCTCGAATTACTTGCGGAGGAAGGAAACAAATAAATCTGTCCAGATCCTTGTGTTCCCACAAAACCTCAAATTATAAAGTGCATTGTGCCAGTGTTATGTCGTGCCTTCAGCCTCTTTGAGTTTGCAATTAATTATTTACGGCCTGAAATGTGCTACATTGTGGCATTGTCATGCAGAGGAATGTTGACTGGGAGAGAGACTCTGTAAAGAAGGACAAATTAATAACTAGATAATATCAGTTTCCTCGAGGGGCTAAAAAACAAAGGTGCAGACGCAAGATGAAGACAAGCATGTTGGGTAAGACAAATAGTATCTCTTATTGCAGTTTGCTGAAACTGCAACAGAGGCGGGTTGAACATCGGGAAACGAGACGTACAGGTTTGTGCCAGCAGTTGTCAGATTTCATTTTGTCTTTAAACTGTCCCGAGGCAAATTACAATACACTCTGTTCTTGAGGATCCCAACGGATGTGCAAAACAGGGAGAATGTTATGTTATCGCCCCATTGGTTGACTTTCATCAAGCTATCTATTCTATGATATCTGATCAAGCAAAAATGTCATAAAACTTGAGAATGTCATATCCATTTAGGCTGTTTATGTATTGTCTGAAGACTGGCTTAGTAGCTGTATTCAGCCAAGGAAACAATTACAGCACATCAGGATGAACCCTATCACCTTAAGGTCATGACAAAATAAACTTTGATCGTACTGTATCCACACAAGGTGTCTTTTTGCTGAATTTGTTAAAACAATAAGGGCACTTTAGGTAAATCCTACACTGGATACACGGGCAGACAATAAACAAGCCAAAGGTCAGAAACTGAATATTTCAGACAAGGAAAAATGCAGAAATAGAAGAAACAAGTCAAGTAATAAGAAAACTAATATTAGCCGAGTCGTATTCTTGCTATTCCGGGGTGTTTCCTTACCCTCTGCTTGTTTTTCATAATGCAGTCTCAACACTTTTCTGCTTCTGTGGTGGAAATCACACAATGGCCGATACTGATTGCTTTATTTTCTCAGTGTGTACCCCCCTCTCACGTTTGTTATTGCAGAACAGGAGGATATGCCGGACAGGGGGGCGATGCTGAGCCTGCAGAATCCGAACACGTTTTTTAATATAATAATTTGTAATCCTGTGGGGTTGAAGGGGGGCACACTGGAGGGAAGGTGCCGGGGGTCTGGATGCTTGCTGGGGGAGAGGGATGGGGGTGAGGTGCCGGATCACCAAGTCTGCTCAGTGTATGTGAAAGGTGAGCACTGCTTCTGAAACTGCTTGGATGAAGGGTTCAGGTATGCAGTCTGGCCTGCACGTGCACGCTAACTGTGGCCGATGTTGGACATGTGCACCCCAACACTGCAGCTTCTGCAACCCGCAACAGTCAAGCAAACCTCTACGGCTAAACCCACCACTGAGCCTGTGGTGACACAAGTTATATGCAAAGAAATTATTGTTTTAGTGGGTTAATATGGAGGCCACCTACACACCTGCCCTGAGGAATGTTTATCAGTATTGCATGTGGGGGGTTCCACCAATGGCATTCACTACATATCTATGATTCCAGCCGGGGATGTGGCCAGTGGTGCGGAAACCTCCACAGGTTGAGGAACAGTCAACACAGGAGAAATCTTTCCTGGTGCAACATTTTGCTCTTCTCGTAGAAATCTGCATCTGTGCATTTCAGAAAGAAATATAACTAAAAGCAAGGAGTAAGGTAACTGACACTTGCATGCTTTCGTGCATGTCATCTGCAGCTCACTTTACTAGACAAGGATTATCCAGATTGAAATGAACACCTTTGCTTTTTCTTATCAGAACAGAGTTGAGCATGAGAGAAGAAAAGGGATTAAAAGTGTTGAACGTGTGCGCAGCTCTCTCTCTCTCTCTCTCTCTCTCTCCTTTCAGACTGGATGTAGCGGTCCCTCACATCGGGGCTCTCCGTTTACATTATTCATACGGAGGAGGGTGTGACTTGTTGGCTCTTTTTTCCGACTGTATAAAACGAGAAGTTCGCGTAAAAGAAAATACAGATGGATAAGGCTAGCCGGCTCGCTGTGTCACAGAGAGTACCCTTAAGCCAACGTGACAACTCACATACTGTCCCTTTGTGACCAGCTTCATAGGCAGAATGCCCGGTATCTGCGTGCTTTGTCTGGCCGCGGCTCTGGCTGCGTTCACCCGGCTGGCCGGAACGGTGGGGCCGGTGGTCCGCTGTGAGCCGTGCGAAGCCAGGGCGCTCCTGCAGTGCACGCCGCTGCCCAAGGACTGCACGGAGCGGCTCAGGGAGCCCGGCTGTGGCTGCTGCATGACGTGCGCTCTCGGTGAAGGACAGGCGTGTGGAGTGTACACGGCGCGCTGTGGCTCCGGCTTGACCTGCCAACCCCAGCCGGGGGAGAGCCGACCCCTGCAGGCTCTGCTGCAGGGACGGGGAGTGTGCTCCAGCGCCGTGTCCAAAAAACTCAACAACATTCTTATAACGGCGCAAAAACAAGGTAGGCTATAGGTGTTTTCATTACATTTGTAATAGTTTGGGAATTATATTGTTGTTTTTTTGTGCGTGCGTAATTATTGGGTGCCGTTGACAGCCGCTCTCTCCATGAGGTGTTCTCTGTGCGGAGTTCCATGTGCATGTACGAAAAGAAAGTGCGTAGTATTGATAGTGGATGTGATAAAGACTGGCCTTCTGAAGATGCAAAGCACAAATAAATATGCGCAAAATGCATTCTGTGGGCTGTTTTGCAGCCTGCCACAACGCAAATCACCATTTTAGTCGTGGGGTTTTAGAGGGGAGGCTTGACATTGCACAGTGATGTGTTCGCCTGGGTTTAACAAATCCCATAGGCTCCTGAAAGTTTTAGTGGATAACACCAGCTGGGTTGGACGTTTACGCAGCAATGTATCGTTGCTTTCCCACCAGGAGGAATCTCTTTCCCATTTGTGTACTGATTTTGACAATGATGCGTTATATGTCAAATTAAATGTAAGGTATTAAATGATTGTCGTGCAGAATGTTTGTTTAACGGTAAGGATAACACTGCTCTCTAACACACACGCACACGCACACCCACACACACACACACACACACACACACACACACACACACACACACACACACACACACACACACACACACACACACACACACATACACACAGCCTGGCTCCCTCAAACCAATAGTTAAGGAATGCCACATACATTCAGTAAGTATACCGTATTTAGCTGAGGCTGAGCCCAGACCATGTCCTTGTCTTCTGTAATGTCCTTATTTTCCTTCAAGGAATGCTCATGGATTTTTGTACACGGCATGAAAATATGTGCTGCCTCTTTCATCCTGGACAAGCCAGGATGTTTGCCAAAACATCTCGACTGTCTGGCAAAAGAGAAAGGGGGTGGGGGGGGGGCAATGTCCCTGTACTCTCTATAAGCAACCAATACACTCACTCAAGACTTAATCATTGAACTCAAAATGTGCACCCTGGTCAATGCATGGTTGTTTCTCTAATATTAAGAGGTATTTTATATCTGCATGGTGTTTTGTGTGAATGGATGCATGCTGCTCGCACTGGTGAAACGGCACACATGCCACCTACATGTGAATACACACTGTTGTGTGTATAGGCACTGCTGACGTCAGACCTCCAGGAGCCTCTGTGTGTTTTCTTCTTCCTGGTTATTTGTTTTGGCCATGGAAGCGTGCAGTGTGCAAGCACGCATTGTCATATACACACACATGTTTATGCATCCACCAGCATACACACACACAGTTACTGCAGTCCTACTTTTTCACTTCCTGACATGTAGCCTGCATATTTATCCTCCTCTCTCCTCCTCTACTGTCAGTTATTATGCCTTTTGAGTCTTTGATTAAACACAAAAATAAAATTATTTCCAATTTAAGAGCAAAGAGATGCGTCTTATAGCACTGTTATGGCTTGTCAAGAAGAAGACAATAAATAGCAGCCGTGAGACAGGTTTCAATACAGTCTATGGTCTCAATGCATGCTTATTTCTAGTATCTCCCCTATTGAAGAAAGGGAAATGATCCCAAGCGCCCCTGATGGTGAGAGTGTGTAAATGCGGCCCAGTGGTTTCCACCACCATCAGTCCCCAGCTCCAGTGCAGCCTCTCCTCCCAGACATTAACAAGCTCTCCTCACCGCAGTTTGTGCTGTTTACCCCTTTGCCATTATACAAACAAATTGCGTAATGTGTTTATCTAAAACGCCCCAGACTTCCTAGAAATGTTATATAAAAGTTTATATTGACAATAAAAATGAATGCTTTCAGGAATCTTAAAAAGGGCTCAATATTGTTGTCCTTGTTTATGGAAGTTTATGGACATTTTTTGAAGGGTTCAGAAAACCCATGTGAAGGTTGTTTTAGGTTAAAAGAGCATTTGTTGGTTTCTGACGTCGTCTTGTTTTAGTTGATGCTGTTGTTGACATTCATGTTGTTATTCCAAATCCTGAAGAGCCTGGGAGACTATGGAGCCCCACCACCTCACTAATTGATCAGGTGGTCACAGAGAAAGGGCTGCCAGCCTGCCTGCCCACACGAGCTACACCCCTAAATGTCCGTCCGCCGCCCTCACCGCAGCTCTCAAACACAAAATCTGCTTTGAGTTAACGGTTTAAAACTGTGTTTGGGTGTGTGTGAGCCACTGCATGTGTGTTCCCATCGTCCCTCTGCCTCTTCAGGACGTCTCCAAGCTCAGTTAGCTCCTCCGACTTTGGCCTTGTGGTGACGTTACCCGGCAGGCGGCACATTGCGTGTAGTTTGGTCAATTCCTATATTAGGTAGGAGTGTATAGAGCCCCCTCCTCTCTTCCCAATTGGTCAGATGCCCCCCCCTCTGTCTTTAACGGTTTGACAGTAATCTTTGCCAAAGGCTAATAATATATCTGCTCCCTCATCTCCTACTTTATCTCTTACCGCGCTAACCTCCTCCTCTTTTAGCCACAATCCCCTATTTCACCACCCTACACATATAAACTCATACATAACATGTTCTTCTCCCGAGTGACCTTAAAAAGTCTTGTTTACACTCATTGAGCCTCTGCAACTATCTTTTGGTCTGCATGTTATGGAAATGTGTGGATATGAAATCATCATGTTTCTGTTTATTTTCTCCAACCCACAAAGCAATGAGCTAACTTTTTTTCTCTCTTTTGGATTAAGAGACACAGGTGTTTAACATCCTGTAGAACAATGTTTTATTGGAATAGTAAAGTAAAATCATAGCTGATTTGATGATATTAAGTCACTGTTTTTGCAAAAGATAGATATTTATTGTAAGAATTCAAGTTTTTCTGAGACCTTACATTTCAGATTTGTAAAACTTGTATTTTCTGGTGAAACGAGTTATTCTACTATTCCGGCATACTGTAAAATAGGAGTGGCAGTCTGTGGAGTCCAATGTAGTCTACATTTGAAGAATTTAAGTCATGTCATAGGATCTGATGCTAACTTGTGCATTGTTCAGTTCCAAACGTTTTAAAACTGATGACTTGACTTACCCCTTCAGATAACGCTGGAAATCAGGTAGTAGGCTGTTCCAACAAGACCACAACGGTGACGATGGTGCCTGGCGTGGTGACCGTGAATGGTGGGCACAGTCGGGGGTCGATTGACAGCAGGCTTCCGATGCAGAACAAGCTGATCCAGAAAGATCAGAACAAGAAGACTCAAAGCTTCAAGTTGGAATCGGTTTCAAGGGGAGCCAACATGGACATGCACAACTTCTCCCTGGAGAACAAGAGGGAGACCGAGTATGTAAGTCACACTAAGAGGCAATGAGATGTCTGTAACGTGTTATAGTGTTGCTATACTTGTATGATAAACAGTAGGCCTAGAGGTTCTTAGAGACCTGCTAAGACATTTAAAAATTACACATTCAAATGTCAACATGATAGTGTTTGCCTTTTGAAAACAGAAATCAGGAACATTATTACGCAAAAACGTCCAAAAAAAAGCGTGCTTAAAAAATCATTAGCGTTATCTTGCAATGTGTTTTGCTAGCAAACTAGTTAGCTCTCATTCTTACGTTACAAAACAATGCTTTGTGTAGCATGCATTTACTTTGAACAAAGTTATATACATTTAAGTGTAGGTGGCAATATGATAACTGAAATAATAAAAACAACATAACGTTACCCCGGGGCAGATAATCGCAGAGGCTGACAGCAGCCCGGTGTTTTGCTAGCTAGTTAGCGTTAGCTCTCGAGCTAACGTATTTTTTCACACATTTATAATTAATAAAGTCTGTCGTTGATTTCTTGTTTGCTAGTTAGTAAGCTCACTGACGTTAGCTTGCCGTAATTCGCAAATTCGGCCAATGCAAGCCAGCTAACTAGTGATATTGCTTGTTCAGTTGTTAGGTAGATAGCATGTTGCCTAACTTGTGGCCGACTTTTATCGATTTTCTTTTATATTTGACAAGTTTTAGTTTGTTACCTGAAGTTTTGCCTGCCGCTTTTACCACTTGGCACTACAGCCTAGTGGACGTTCAGGATAGAGAGACGCCACCACTCACATGCATTGATGATAACCCATGCACTGTACTATGTGACATTATTAATATAAAGATAAACCAGATACAATCATAATAAGAAACTGCTTTTGATGTGAAATGTGGTCAGTGCTATTATATTTCATGCACCTAGTCTTTCTATAAAGTAACCAGTAGCACTTAAATTGTCCATAAACCTATATTCACAATTGTTCAAGGCTGTCTTTAAAAATGTATCAGGTACCCCTATAAGCATTGTCTCAAACATATTTAATACATTTAAGACATGTTTAACTTGTATTACTGTAGTAAACCACAGGTGCAACAAATTACACCAGGAACCTGAAATCAGTAGTTAATAAAAACTATCAATTATTAATTTGATTATTTACACCTGTTCATCTTTGTACATTGCATTTTATTTAGGTTATTGGGTCACAATTTATTTTCAAAAACGTTTCTTGACTTAAAACTATTCCTGATCCAAATTCTATACTCAATTCAATACAGCAGGGTGCTTAATTTACTGTAGGATGTACTAATGAAGGCTGTGTTGAATGAAAGCAGAGTAAAAATGTTACAGGACTGCTTTTTTTAATATTTGATAAAGTTGTATGAACTGATTGCAATAATGTAAACAAACAAATGCAATCCAAGGACAAAAGGTCATGTTTAATCATGCTTAACTTCCACAAATAAACACCTAAATAAATAGTATTTCTAAATCATTGGTGACTTAAAATAACAATAACTAGTTCCAGTTAAAGAAAAATCTTCTCTGCATCTGAAACTCACCAGATTCAAAATAAATGGGGTTTTAAAGTTGATATATGGAAGATCTTCTTGAGAGTCACAGTTCCCCTTTTTAGGACTAACCTCTGTCAATAGGCATTAAACCATATGCTATTTTGGGACAGCAGTCTGCAACATTTTCATTGCATGCCTTGGACTCCACCTACTGATTAGCAGACCTGGTAAAGGGGGAGAACTCCTCAGTAAAATTACCTGCTGAAGGAATTTATTGGAATTACTGCTGGCTCTTCATAGCATATGGATGCATTTGGCAAGAATGCATACAGCTGTCATCCTGTGATAGATGATTTGCGTGCACCCTTGAAAAATATACTAACAGTTAGGGGAATCTCAACAAGGCCTTGCTCGACAGACCGATTTGTTTTTAAATACTCCACAGAGTACCTTTTTAAGTTATTAACTATCATTTTTAAACAACATTTTCTAGAAATGGTAAGCCTGGACAAAACAATAGGATAATCACTGCAACCCAAAGTCTTATACATCTCAAATGTTTGTTTGAAAAAGCAGACACCAACATTCTGTTCATCATATACTGTGTAAAAATTATATTTTTGTTTTACTTAAAATCAACTTAAAGGGAGAGTTAATTGGACATTCTGATGTTAACCATGAACTGCTATAATTGCATTGTGATGGTGTAAGGATGAGTGTGTAACAGTGGCGTCCCCGGCGTGTGTTTGCCGTGTTGCTAGGGGCCGTGTCGGCGGGAGATGGAGAGCATCCTGAGCGGTCTCAAAATCAGCAACGTGCTCAACCCGAAAGGTTTCCGCATACCCAACTGTGACAGAAAGGGCTTCTACAAGAAAAAACAGGTGAGTGGCTCTCTCTGCTGTTTTATCTCCCCTTTTCACTCACACACTTCAACAAGGACACACACTACTGCTGACATGGAAGTAGACCCCCCGCATGCCTGAACACTTCCAAAGAATCCTAAGCGACTCATCCCACCCACACATACACAATCCCCCTTTCTTTTCTTTTTTTTGCAGCTCAGGTTGCCTTGACAGCCACATCAACACTATATTATCAGAATGGCTAATAACCATGTATTACTCTCCGGTAAATGCACTGCAGCCGTCTGACTCATGCCTCACAGGAAATGAAGTCGGTCAGGTGTGTTTGTGGGTGTGTGGTGTGGGAGAGTGTGGGGGGTAGGGATGTAAGAATGCGGTCTGGGAGTGTGTGTGGCACGGTAGATGTGGCGGCAGGGGAGTGTATGTATGGCGCTTGTTTGATGGCGGTAGTTTTGGTGAGGGTGTGTAGGTGTGGGGTGCTGTGGGTGAGGTAAAAAAAACAAACAGGCTGTCACTGGTTTAGTTTTTCTTGTCCGTTGTACAGCAGATTCAGGCCACCCATGGCCTGCTCATTTGTAAGACTGGAGGAAAAAGAAAACGGGAAGCTAAAATTCATTCAGAAAAGATGGGTGGCTGATGTGCTGACCTGGGGGGAGGAGGGGATCGTTGGGAAGGTGCAGAGTAGATGGGAGGTGTTGTAGCGGAGTACTTAGACTTAAGGCATGTCAAATTGATACCACTGTCCCATTTCCTGAGATTGGGAGCCTTATCGGAGGGCTTCCGCTGAGATAGAGCCCATTCTGAGAAACGCTAATCACCAAATAAAATGAACCCACAAGCACCATGACTCAGAGACCAACTCGAGCCATAACACACACAAAGACACACACACAAATCATTACTCTTTTCCAGTCTAAAAAGTTAGGCTTCATTGTTACTTTTATTAAAATCAGAGTATTTTTCTTGTTCTTTCCCTGGATTACATCAACAAATACCTTTCAAGGAAAGTGTCAGTTCTGTTCTTCTAAGCATGTGTGTGTGTGTTAATGTGTATGTGTGTGTGCAGCAGTGTGCCAGCCCTTGTCGCCCTTTTCTCAGAGGGTTCGGTGGGGCAGGGGTGTTGTGTTAAATCCATCCGAGGGGATGTGCCTTCACGGTGAGCTGCGGAGATTTATGACCGGAAACACAGCGAAGAGGAGACCGTGTGAACCGTTTAGGGTGACAATACTGTGAAAAGAAGGGAGCAAGGGGGGGAAAGGTGGGGGGAGGTCGGAGGGAGGGATGAGCGGGTGGATGGTGGGTGACGGACTTTGCAGAGGAAAAAAGGGGCATGAGCATACACATGATACACATGATACACAGGATGCCTCAGTATATTAAATTGATACCACACCCGAAATCTTTTAATACTCAGGCACTGTTGAAAGGTGGCTGGGAGGAGACGGTAGTTTCATCTTTCATGGAGACCTTTTTACCCAAATAGTACCAGGAAATAAATTGGGAACTTACCAAGTGGTTCCAGGAAGGAAGGATCAACAGGAATTAAAGTGTGAACTATACATAAGTCCCTTTGTGCTTTCCTGATAACAGATTAGATAACGGTAGATAAAGGTTACATATTTCACAGACAAAGAAGATGAAACATAGATTCATAAGTTGGAAAGCTGTTGCTCGTTTCCTACAGTCAGGAATTTGGATACATTTCTATTACTTTTGCAAAAGTTACTCCACATGGTAAAATTAGCATCAGCCTTGTATTGCTTTTACCTTGATGATCATACAGGGAGACCAGTATGTGATATTAAGTACAGCCGACTTTGAAACATTGGTTGCTGGTCCACCAGAAAGCACTAACTTCCACTACAGTACTTTTATAAGATAATAAACTAGAAACAGGTTCATCTGGTCGAAATCCAGAAAACCGCCCAGAGTTCGTAGAAGGTTTTAGGCTTCCTGGAAAAGAAAAGGCCCTATGGTCATATTCGATGAATCATGGATTCAAGTTGTGATATATTTTACCAGTAAAATAAAAGGAAGAAATTGATCATAGAAACCAAATCTGCAGCATTATTTGGTAGCCGTCGCTCAGTGTGGAAATGGCTGTCTATCAATCAGGGGGTCAGAGGTTCAATCGTCTGCCCATATGCACTTCATACAATATTGAAGTGAATGTAAGTCATTTTGGATAAAAGTGTCTGTCAATTGTTGTGACTATGTGCGCATTACCTGGGTTGAATAAGAAAACTTGCCAACCTTTGCGTTGATGCCATTTACCACACTCATAATCTTAGAACTTTTGACCATCTTTCTCACATTCTCTTCCAAAAATGTTAAGGTTTTCCCTAGGAAACCAAGAGCTTTGGTCCACCATAGAAAAAAGCTCATGATTTGGTATCAAACATTTTTGACATTTGGAGATTCCTCTAGGAATCGCATTTTCAGTCAATGAATGGCAAGCACTTTTGTTCTGGAAATGCCCCAGAAACCCCCACATCATTGATATAAGCCCAACGTCCTCTGAAAGCCCACAGTCTTTGGATTGCTGTTCCAGACACTTAAGAAAATCTCAACGCAGCAGACATATTTGTTTTTCATGCCTGCTTCATCAACGGTACACGTCACATTCAATTAAAATATATTTATTTTGGTCCCAATGGGGCAATTTCAAAAGGCATCTAGAGCATACCGCAACAATAACACAATATAAGACAAATATAAAGATAAGTTAAAAAGCAATAGATGAATTAATAGTATGTTATGAAATAATAATATGTGTGTTATTGGCCTGTTGATGGCAATATTTTTATTTTAAAGCCTTTATCTGCCTAAACTGCTAGTGGAGCCTCACAGATGGGGGTGCTGCAGCCCCCTCAGCACCCACCCATTTTTCTTTTTGTATTACTATTTACTTGCACTATATTTTTCTGTTTATCCGTGTTTTGTGTTGCACTGTTGGAGAAGCCTGTGAAACAAGATTTTCATCTGCATAACTACACTGTAGTTATGTTCGTATGACTAAATAAAGAACCTTGAACCTTGATGACAGACAGATTTATCAATCTTAAAGAGACACTTTTTAAGACTTGAGGATATGTACATACTATAGGGATGGATTAGTGGCAGAATATTGTTTTAAGAGGTCAACTATCATAACAAGCATTTACGTGTGTGCTTTCCAGTGTGTACGTTGCTGGTAATATGAGTACTGTAGGAGAAGGTTGGCTGAGCAGTGTGAGCCCTACCTCGGCTACAGGGAAAGTATTTTTAGCAACAGTTATATGAATTGGCACAGTATCCCAGTTCAGGCCATGCATGCCCAACACTGACCCACTCATTACACCTCTCAAAGTCTCACACTCACTCTCACTTCTCCTCCCTCTAACGCACTGTCACTCTCAGGCTCTTATTCATCATTTCACCCACCCATCATTGCCCCCCATTGTGCCTCGCCTACAGTCATTCACCCGTCTTTTCTGCTGCTTCCCTTCTCCATCATTCTGCCCATCCTGCCTTCTGCCCACCTGGCTTTCCCCTTCCTTGTTTGGCCAGGAATGACCCTGCAGAGGTTTGTGAATGGAACGCCAATGTCTGTGTTTTGAGAGGAAGAGGAATTGGCAGTGGGTTAAGGATGCTAGCCAGGTGCCTGCATACCCTTTATGCCTCCTCCCTGCTGACAGTGGCAGGCCCATAAGGAGTGAATTATTGAGCGTGACTCAGAAGGATCTGTGGAAACGTACACACCGACCACAATGGCTATATAATAACTGGCCAACCTTCGGGGACCCAGACAGCTATTTTCACTCTGTCTCTCTCGTTCGCTCTGTTCCCTCCCCGGATTTCTAATCCACATCGGCTTCCTTCTCACTTGGGGATGTGGAGATGCTTTTTTTTGTTCTTTGGTTGTTACATAACATTGAGAGTAGTATTTTTCATTGTCACAATGATTTCACAGACATACTGTATGTCAGTGTATGAGTTGAGTGTTGATACCCCATCCTTAAATGTTGCTTCAGCTAATCATCACTTTTATTATTGCCAGTTTATCATTATTTTCTTACGATCATTAGTCTTAGAATCAATCGAAGATTATATATTCCAGAAACAAGGGTTATTGTAACAAAATGTCTGTATCTGACAATGTAAAAACTATTTAGGAATATATGACTGTATTTTAGGCCCTAAAGTTTATAAATTGTCAAAGCGATGCCTTTCAAAAGTTGGGAGATTCCTTATTACAATACGATTGACTTTATTGTCTGTGTAAGGAAATTTTTTTCTGGACTTGGTCTACAGTTCCACAAAATATCAACAAAAAAATGTATACATAGTACAGATAGAAACCTACATATACTCAGTTTTCACATACACCTATACACAGACAAACCTACTGACATGGCAAACATTTAAACTATATATTACATTTGTCTGTTGAGAAGCTTAATGGACATTGGCAGGAATGAGTGTTTGTAACTGTTCAGCCGGCTTTAAGGGAACCTACATCTAATTAAATAATATAAATGTTGTGTTTTCTTTCCTCAGTTGATGAAAGTATTCAATACAAAATAATATGAGATTGTGCACATTAGCTAACATTAGAGAAACTTTAACATGCTAATTATAAAAATTGGTAGTTGATTAATGACTGTGATGTTAATCAGATTTGCCATTGAATAATTTGACTCTCATCAAGTCTCCTCTTCTTCCATTCATATTGTACCATCTGTTTTTGCAAGTCTGGTTTATATTGATTCTTTTGGCTCCTATTTGAAAGTTTGTATAGCTCCATTCTTCTAAAACAAACAAATTATTCTGGAGCTTATTTCACTAGGACTCTCAATAAACAATCTTCTTTTTTAGAAAAAGCAATATCCTGCAGCGACTCCCAATGCACTTACATACACACACGCACACATATGCGCCCTATTTTACACACGTTCATATATATGCACCCCTACACACACACACACACACACACACACACACACACACACACACACACACACACACACACACACACA